CCTCCAAATGTCGCCCCGGCCCAGAGAATGGTTATTGCATACTTAACATTTAATATCGGAAGGTACACTTTTGACTCATAAGTGCAAAGACTAATTTTTGCCCTTCATCTGAAGCCCAGCAGTGCCTAATATATTCTTATATGTGCTAGCTCGTGTTAATTATCACATACATTTCACCTTTTAATTCTACACACTCTCCACGCTACCTTTCCAAGGTCTGAATAATCAAAATAAATAATATTGGAATAATAATAAAAAGGCTTCATGGGGAGAGTCTGTTTCCTAGCAACATGAAAGGGGGCTGCCATCCAAGCTTTGCATGTTTGTGTGTGTGTGCGTGTTGTGCATTTGTGTGCCTCTGTGTGTGTGTGTGAACAGAATAGTAGCAAAAATCCATACATTCCAAGTATAATCACTTGTAGCAGTGAAAATAGTTGTTATTTTTGATAAAAAAACAGGAAAATCACAACATTTACATATATTTAATATAGGCTGTGTTCAGCCTACAGTTTAGCTCCGCCTATTTACTCTGAAGTTGTATGTAATGTTTCAGTTTAGACTAATGTGTGGCTCTTCCAGAACATCCCATTGTATTAGCAATGCTTTACTATGGTGTTCATACAAACTGTGTGTGGGCTGAGAACGGATGTAAAGAATAAAGAAAGGCTGGAAAATGGTGATATAAAAGTGAACTATGACTGGTATTAAAACCACGCAATTTAAATACAAGAAAAAATGTAGGATGTAGGTCCTTTACTTTTCAAGGAATGTTATGTTCTTACTTACTACACACCTACAATACAACTAAGGGCCTAGTCACCTCTTTATTTAAAAGAGGCTAATCATGTCATGCATTAAAAAAAATTCTGGTCAGGTATTCACAAAAGACTGAATAAATTTGGAACCCCTGCACACTTTGCCAGGCTGTATGAATTGATGGAGTTAGTGGTGCCCTACATGGAGAAAACACAGTCTGACTACAGGAAACACAAGTCAAGCTTTTGAAAAGAAGTGAGTGGGGTTCCATTAAAAAGATGTTAAAATAGACTTTAACAGCTCTGCAGTTCAGTAGTTCCTTGTTAAAAAGGTGCAGACTGCACTCAATGTTTTCTAAACGATTCAAATAATTTCCTTATAGGTTCTGTTATTTTGTCAGTGGAAGTCCTATTTCACACAGACATAGTCTGAGTGGCTTTGGGTGATGGTCTCGTATTCTGTCCATGTGCATTTCCATGTGCATGCAGTCCACAATCATTCATTGATCAGAGTGCTAGACAAGCACTGCGCCGATGCCCCAAAAGTCATGTCAGTTGTTTTTTTTTTTCCATGCTTGTAAGTTTCTTAATTAGCTCTCGACTAACTTTTGATTGGCACAGCCTTGCACAGGTGACCTCATGAGATTTGCGAGCATGAGCAGAAGAACAAATAGACTATCGTGACCTTTTCCCGCGATCTGGGCCTCTACCCTGAGACGTCTAATTTTACTTTTTATTAATCAGCCAGAAATTCCTGCAGAAACCCAGGGCTCTGGTATGTTTGTCTGGGGTATCGATCAGTTAAGGACTGTGGATTTGATGTTACTGCAAGGAGAAGAAAAGGATGGGCCTGATAAAGCTTCAAAAGCCTTTTAGTGTCTTCAGTTGGAAAAGTGTTGGTTTCTTAGTACAAGCCTATAATGAAGCTTTTTAGAATGAAATCGCTGATGGCTAAAATGTAACATTTTAGCATGCAGTGACTAATTTGACCCTGAACCTCCATTTCCCTCTTGTGTAATAGTCAACCACATCAGTGGTGGCACTATGATTGGACCCAGTTGGCCTAGGCCCACTCACTTTTATTGGCCTACCCAATATGACAAAATGTTCGGCCCATGATTTTTCTAGATTGTATTTTGGTTGCCTGTCCAAGTGAAAAATAATTCTGCCCCTGCACACAAAATGTCTAGGGATCCAAGCAATTTTATATGTTGGTGTTTCTTCTGACGTTTAAACTGCTTCTTTCTATCCAGTCAATTCACTGGTATGCAAAGAATGGGTTTGATTATTTTAGATTACCCTCAACGTCAGGACCATAGTTTGGGAAAGGTGCACTGCTGGTGACATGTTTAGGCACTAGGCAGCACTTTAACATGATAACTGAGAAGATTTGATTCTGTAGATGAACTGACATCTGTCTACTTTGGACTACAGTAAGTAAAAGCCACTAATTGAGTGTCCAGGAATTTTACTAAGGGCTAAGCTGGCGCCTTAAAGCTCAGATTTGCTTACAATATTTAAATCTTATGAATTTATAAAGCAAAAAGGGAGAAAATATGAAAATGCACTTTAAATATATAACATATTCGAAATTCCATTTTTGGCATTGGCCAATCAAAGCACTATACATTTCATTAGATAGATAAAGGAACTACAGACAGTTATCCAACTCTGAACACAGTCAACCAACACCAAAGGCATTAATGGTATAAAATTGCCAGAATTGCCAGTTTTTCTTTTGTTTTGAGCTCTGAGGTTTATATGCTATAGTCCACTAGTAAGTCAGTGTCTTCTACTGAGGTTACTTTCCCACTGCAGTGTTCGAATGCTTAGAAAAGGGCTTGGTTGCAGTTATTCATTTTTTGTAGCCTATATCCCCCTCCACAGGAGTAAAATTTGGACCTCCCACAAATGTGTCATGCTCATGCCAAACAGCAGACCTGGCACCACTACTGTCCACAGGTAGATGCAAATAAATGACAAATGCATTTTAATAAAGGTAGCTCATATTATTTCATCCTTATTCCCCCATTTTCTTTTCTTATAGTAACATGATAAACTCACAAACAGTGATCTCTTGTACTAAGAGGGAATTTTTCTTGCATGGAATGGAGCTGTTTTCCTTTATTGTGCTAAACTATGTAGGTACACACACAGAAAGTTGTTTTGGGTGAGTTTGTATGACAGCCCACCAAACAGTGGTAGTAGTTTTTCCACTGTATTGAAGTTTGCTCCAGGAAAAAAAGACTTCTTAATATACTATCTTTTAAGTCACTTTTTTTTTTTTAATGGTCTCTAATTCAAAGAGCAGTTTGCAATTTTTTTAGCCGTTTGGAACCCAGCCAAGCACACCAAAAGGCTTCATTTCAGTCTCATAGAGTTTCTTCTGGCACCCCTTGTCCTCACCTCCCTTGAGGAGATAGCCAGAATGAACTGAGAGATAGTTAAACACATGCTGTTAAGATGTTAATAAAGGAGCACGGTCCTCCGTTGACAGTCTATGTCAGTGGTCTGCAAGTACCTCACATACATGCAGTGGTGCATGTGACACACAAATCTGGCCACGAATCTGGCCAAAAATGAATGACAGCGGTACTTGGACAATACTCCTAACACTACATTTGCCTACCTCTGTAACATGATTAAAATTGTAAGTCGCTTGGAATAAGGGCATTTTTCAAATTCTATAAATGTAGATGCACTTTGTAAGTGAACAGTTACTGACTCCTGCTGCACAGTTTATCAGCCACCCTTGACTTCACCCATCAATGGAAGGGGATCACCATAGGACCACTGCTGATCAGAGATTATTTAAGTGGTGGCGATTTGGAAGCAGCAGTGTTGCTGGAGTTTTCACATACCTCACTGTCACTGCTGGGTGAAGAATAGTCCACCAATCAAAAACATACAGGTCCTGTGGTCAGAAACCTGACCAAAGATGATGGGCTAACACAGAATGTTCATGGAAAAGGTGTACAAACATGGTGTGTCTAATGTAGTGGAATATATGTACAGAGGATTTAAAAACTGATGTTGTATGGGCCTAATATACCTAATATATTGGCAGCTGGGTGTAAACATTTGTAATGTAGGTTGTATGTGTGAAAATGCCTGGCAAATATTTATGGAAGACCACTAGAAACATTCAGATGTGATGTTAGATCAAACTAACAGATTGTGTGATATTAAAGGAAATATCAATTAATGATAAAAGGCTCTTTTCCCCACCAGATGAAAACAAGATTTGTGCCCGTTGTCAAAATATCATGTGGACCACTGGTCTGTGTGTGAATAATGAGGACGAGAGAGACAGAAGGGGAGAGAGAGAAAGAGACATTCTCATTCCTGCAGTCACTCCTGAGTCAGGAGGGTAGAGCAGGGGAAAGCAGTGGGGGTTGGATTGGGGGGAGTTGGGTCGGGGAGGGTGTTGGGTGTGCGATGGGATGGGGGGGTATTCCCAAGGTTCTCTAGGCAATTTCGACCAATCCTGCCACGAATGTGTTATCGTCACCATGACGACGGAGACTGGGAAAATTAGCAAGTGGCAGGGGTCCAGGAGTTCACCCCGCTTCGCGGGAGAAATACATCAGCTCCCTCTCCTGCGGATCTCTGCCTAATAAGATGAATTAAGTTGGATAGCGAAAGATTTCCACTGTTACAGACGTAAAACTCTACTTGTTGCATCAAGGCTGTGCTCTTCTAGCTAAGCTAGGCAGTGACAGGAATGAGAATTTGTCTATCATCCTGCCTTGTGTGATGGAGGCTGAGACTAGCCTCTGGCTGTTGTTTTTCAGGTCTTGGCAGAAAGAGAATGGGGGACCTTCTAACCTTTTATCCTCAGTAAAGCAGAGGAATTTAGCAGATAAACTAGACAAAACAACCATCCCCTGACAAAGTTCTCCAGTCAGAGAAGTTATCTCTGCCGGTGTTGTTTTTCTTTGCTTGTATGATCCTTCTGGATGATGCCGAAATACCACAGGGATTTTTAGCAGCCTCCAAAATCTGCATCCGCTATAAATCCCTGATGGCTCCAACTTAGCTTATTACTGCAGATGACTGACACCTCAGCAGTCCCAAATGGGCTGCCTGCTAGAGTCTGCTAATGATCGCACAATGCTACATCAGAGGAAAATCCTTTTCTCCTGTTGTGCTCTGTAGAGAAGCTCTTTTTTCAGAGCCATTTGAGGTAAACAAGTATGAGATGCAGTTTTTGTTTTGATAAACAAATCCGTTTATGTGTTGCAGGGTTGCCAAGGGGAACGGGGAGTTCTTTGAGCGTATGCACAAAATCGTCCAGAAGCAAGAGAGTCTGTTAGCTGCCACTCACGCTGAGGTAAGTATAGGATTCGCAGGGGATTGCACGCCCCACCGTGCTCCAGCAGCCCTCGGAGTCGTTCCGTAGGGAGGCAAGTGGGAGAAAGGCGACCTAGGGGGTATAGAAAGCTTTGTGTGCAGACAGAAGGATGAGGCTGGTTATAGAGGCTGCAGGTTCAGTCGTCACAAGCTGCTCTTGATGGCTTTTGCTCTAAGTTACACCCACACAGAGAGCAAGCGTCTGATTTAATTTTCCAGATTGAGAGGTTTATAGGGGAGCACTGCTCCCCCAGTGTTCTGGCATCAAGAAGAAAAATCAATAATGAAGGCAGACCAGCATATGTATTCATTCTTTACTAGGAATTAAAAAGAAAGCATAGTCTCTGATAATGGAACAGAATGGTGCTGATATAGGCGGCTCAAAGCAGATCCAAAATGGTTCTTAGTTCTGCATGGTGGCAGAGCTGGATATTGCTGAGCAATTTCGGGATTTTGTTCCATGCCCTGCGCTCTAAGCCTCGTCTCAGCCTCTTACTCCTCTCTCCCTCACATGTCTCAAGGAGGAGATTATCGCAGGTCCACCTCCTCCAGAGCGCACAGACCAGGCCTTCGTTCCGGAGAAAGCCACCAGAAATGAGGTGAGGCTTAGAAAAGAGTAACAAATACTGTAATACATAAAGCTCTCCACTGGTCTTTTTCCATGTAAATCAGATATTGCTCTTTAGTGATTATCGTTCCTCTTCCAACACTCTGAGGCCTTGTCCCCCTGCATCCCGATATCATCTGACAATACATTTTTTGCCCTCTGTTTTCAAAAAACATCCCGTCCACATTGACAGTGATTGCAAAAATAATTGAAGACTGTTATATAGGCGTGCTAATCCACAATGAGAACATTTTGAGCATGTGGATTGCATGAAATGTAGAGCGCGACATTGTAGAGATGACATGAGAGTGCAACACAAAGACTGTCTAAAAGTATTAAGAACACCAAGAATGACAAAAAACAAGATTCATACACAGTAAAACTGGTTCGTCAGTTCAACCTAAAAAAATGGTTTTATGTGTTAACAAGCAAATTAAGTAGTTTTATTCAACTAAACCAGTGTTTCATTCAAAGTATTTGTTTGATGTGAATTAGTTCAGTTGATTATTAACACATGAAGTAATTTTTTTAGGTTTCCATTTTATACAGTGTATGTGTGATCATAAACTAAAGCACAGTGATCAAGCTCAATATTACCGGCCACACAGAAACAACCCAGTCATCAACCATATCTGATACAGAGTCCTGGAGAGTGCTCAACACATGCAGAAAACAGTACTGACCATGCACATGTTGATGCCATGATATCAGTGTTATGTTTATATGATATGATATTACCACTCAAAAACATGGAAAACTTTTAAAGTATTTTAAAAAGTGTTAGCAAAAGCTTTGTTTTTAGTGACTAACCACCATTTTCACATGGACAGGTGGCTAAAACACAGATAAAAACATAAATCAAAAATAAATAAATAAATCAAGCTAAAGTCAAACATTGTCATTTCTTCCCACGTCAAACGTGTTGAGTGAAAATGTAATTCCCCTGATGCTACGTTTATCAAAGAACAGCAGCAGACAGGAGTACAAACAGATACAAGTAAATGAAATAAATTACACAAGATGCTACAATAAACAACAAACTGTATGACTCACAAAGGAATTGCTAATTAGCTGATTAGCTGAGTCTAATCAAATGTGTTAAGGGGTAGAATGCTAAACTCTGCAGAGGTGTGACCCTCTGGGACTAGAGTTTGAAAAACTGGGTATGTGTTCTTACAGTAACAGTTTGGAGTCGCCTGATAAATGTTTGTTCATCATTGTCTTAAAGGCATTTTGTTTCAAAGACAAATATCAATAGTGAAGTCGGTGCCCATTTATAAATTCATTTCCATAACAAAAATGAAAATGGAAAACTTTATTTTGAAATTTTCTTCCAAGAAGTAGTTTTCATTTTGAACTTTAAGACAATTGTCTCAAAAATTTAGAGTTGCTTAATGTTGAACCACAATCGTTATATTGTCCTAATCAGATTGCATACCTCTTCAAGGCAGTTAATTTGTGGAAAGTCGTTCTTGTTAATTATTTTGAGCCTATCTTTTGGTACAGTGGGTCTAAATACACCAATTTATGATTGTAGTAATTCTACATGGGCTAGGTTTGGTGTCTTTACTATCATTCTAAAATGTGCAACGAGTTAAAAATAAAGAAAAGCTCTATCCACATTTTAACTAGTACTATATCGTCACTGTCCAAAAAAAACAAGCATCCCAATTTTTTCTTATTCTTGATTTTTCTGCATCATTTGAGCTCAGCAGCTGCTTTTACATTGTGTGCAAATTTTATGATGAATGGGCCAAAAGAAACTGCTTGGAATAAAATTTCTTTACATTAAAAGTAAAGAGCTTTTTTTCCTTCTCCAGGAAAATTGCCATTTTGGAAATACTTTTGTTTTTTGGGATAGAACTCTATATGCCTTTACAACAGAACACATTGATGGTGTTTGGCAAATTTGACTATATTCCAGTAGAATTTCTACACTCAGTGTTGACTTCAAGTCACAGCACACTGACAAGTGACATTGGACCAGTATAGATCTAACCAGTCTGTCCCCAGTGGTTTAATTATTATAATTACACTTTAATCACAGATTTCACAGATCAGATCTTGCTCTTCTGTGCTGCAATGCTGTCTGGATGTCGTTCTGAATTGCATGTTTAATTGAAATTGTTCTCCTTTAGCTTGATTTATTGTATGAGGAGGCGGTTTACACCGTGGTCAATCGGGTTGGAGTGCCATCGCCCGAATATGTGACCAATGAAGGGGACCTTTTCAACTACCTGCAGAAGGTACACTCTTTTCTTTCTCCCTCTCACAAAGAGAACAGATCACTGTATGTCTCATATACTGGAATTCATTACTTTTCTGGAAGGTTTTTTTTCTACAACAAAAATAAACAAACAACCGTCGCAATCATGCTGTTTCCACTCTATGTCAAGATCCGCTGAGATAGAAACAATTAGCAGACTTTGATTACCACCAAATGTAGAATGAAGGCACACAGGTACATGACAAACACACACACTCACACATACACGTGCACACACACACATATACACGATCATTGTTGCTGTTTTTTTGACCTATCCCTCAGAGAACGAAGGGGGAAAAGGGGGTCGGTGGCTTGTTTGCTTTGGGTTGGGTTTTATGAATTGGAGCAGATGCTCTTGTCTCAGACGTGATTAAACATCAAAGCCCACGCCTGCTGGGGATTGATGTGCAGCATTGATATTACATCCGCTCAGCCGCTGTCACTCCAAAGGCCGCCTGCCTTGTATCCGTCTCCTCTTACGAGGAGGTGACATCGGGCGTGGTGTTTGAAGTGCCCGCTCAGTGATTTACCAGCAAAGAAACAGCTCAGAAAAGAGATATCTTTACCTCAACTATCACCTGTGAGTTTGAGTTACCACTTAATAAGTTAACTACTTATTACATGGAACTGAAAATAACAGCATAAATGAACCTAGAACAATAAGTACAGTGACACAAAATACATTTTTGGGATTACACTGTACTCACTCTCATAACTACAAGACTTGCATATTAAGCACTGTCAAGCTGTACCATGGGATGTTCTGTAACATAATTTGTAAGAAATTTGACTGGCCAGTTTGTACAAGATAAGGTAGCTGTGTAATTTCCTCAACATTCCCTGAATTGAAACTTCTTGAATGTACACAACATTATACTACACACCACACTCAATAACGATAACAACACGGCACACGTCTGTTACCAAACAGAGAGCGGGGTTAGCTTATAAAGCTAGATTCATACTGGATTCAAATTGTGGATTTTGACAATATGGTTTAAATAGCAAGACATGTCCAGGTAAAACTAACGAAGCTTGAATAGTTGTATGTGCCTGACGAATAACTCACAGTAGTGACCGAATAATTAGTCTTAACATGAATAACTGAAATAATCCTAGGCTAAAGGTGGATGATATAATGATACATCAAAATCATGATACTTTGCATCACAAAAGGCTTTTCTTTGCGTTTTGGTGGTATCATCACTACGACAGAACACTGATGTTTCCATAAAAAGAGGTTTAGAAGAGGCTCCCAAGCAGGGTTTTTATGGCAAACTAAAACTTATACTAAAACTAAAACTAGCACTGCTAAATGTGCTTGGTAACTGTAATAAAAATGAAAAACACAAAACATCAATCAAAACTATAATGTCCACTGCAAAACTAACTAAAACTGAATGGAATTACTTAGAAAAACAATTGTTTTTGTTTTTTTTCAGTGTGTGAATGCGAGTTTAAAAGTGGATCCCTTCTGTGTTTAGCTGTCTTTAAGGAAATCTGGAGCTGAGCTGAGCTCAGTCTACTGTTGTATTAATTTTAAAACCAAAATGAAAAACTAATGTCCATTCTACAAATAACAGTCTTCACCCTGTTGTCTCTCTACCCCAGGTGTTTGATATGGGTCAAGAAGAGCATGACATCATTCTGCAGAGAGTGAGGGAGTCCAAGGTATGGAGTCAAGCATTGTTCATCAGCAGATATCCCTGCTCTATCTCTCTGCCTCAGCCGGCTCGTGTCAGCTTCTGTTCTCTGTTCTGTCACCATAGTGTGGCCAGCTAGACCTGCCTTTAGAGATTGATTCTGTGATCCTTTTTGAATTGGCTGAGATCATTCAGGCCTCATAGGAGTTAAAATAGCACGACTGCATACACCGCCTGTCAAAGTTTTGGAGACCTAGCTTTTCAAAAAGGTATTTTTTTCTTCGTCAGTTTGCAATAGCTTAACATGCAGTGAGAAGCCAAAATATTGTGATGGGGTGAAGTTGGTTATTTTTGTGATATACTTGTTGTGTTCCACATTTTAAAAAATAGACTAAAGGCTAGAATGTCAGTTTTTTTGTCATTTGTTGTGTGAACTCAGTTTCAGCTGAACATAAACACTGAGTGTGCTCCCTTAGAAGTAGAGCTGTGAATGTGAAGCGTTGGTTGTAGTCATCAGATTTTGCATTAGGGGTCTTGTTTTGCTGTACAAAGTAGAAAATGAAATGAATACTAGAGAATTGACTGATGGAAAAGAAAGCAGTTAAAATACATGAGATGTTTTTTTATTATCTGAATTTGAAATAAAATAATTCTTTACTTTATGTCAGAATTAAAAAAAAAATCAGTATATTGTAAATGTAAATCTGTGCAGTTCACTAAGCAACTGAATATGTGATTTTGTATTTACATTTAAATAGTACTTACAAAATGATAATAGCTCTCATATTCAGGCTTTTTAGGCCAAAAAAATGTCAATATGTGCTTTTAAGAGTAGTTTGGGACAGAATACTCATTCATTCATTCATGCTTCAGCATTATTACAGGTTTTAAAATTCCCATGTTATTAAAAACACAATTAATTGACTGTTACAATGAAACATAAAGAGATTACAAAGAACAATTGTGAAACATTCCATCATTACTGTATACATCTAAATAAGTCTAAAAAAAGCAAATGCAAGAAGTTGTAGCTATTGTACTATTTAAATTTCATTCTCAAACAAGAGTCTGCATATAAAATCTCATTATTTAAGCAAAACCTGCCCTTCATAGCAAGAAAGATTATTTGATGACCTGAACATGAAGCTCAGTGTAACAGTCCATATCGCAAAAATTAGCAACCTTTGCTTGTTATTTCTTACCTAGTTAAAAAAGTAACAGTGAAAATCAAACATTGCTTTCAAAAGAAGTTCACATTCAGCTGGAACAATGTGCTCATTTGCACAATAACGTTCCTTCTGTAAACACTGATGCATGATCTTAAAAAAGAAAAAGAAGGAATGAATTCTTCATCTTCTGTGCGACTGTCATGTACTTATTGAAATGTCACAGTGAAAGAGGCCCCAGGCTCCTCAGACATATCTTTAAAAAGGTTATGAAAGGAATTGGGAAATATTGTGCTGTTTATGTGGTGCTCACAATGAGCCGAGCACTTGGCGCACTCTCTCGCAGTGGTCACTCTGAAGCTCAGTGAGACACAATGCCCTCACACTCGGGCACCTGACCGAGAGAGAGCACCTATCGATTTCTGCACTCCTGAAAGGTTCTGTTACTGCAAGACTGCATGCTCCTGAAACTCAGACAGGAGAGGGCTTGAGGCATCTAGTAGATTTTTCACTCTCAGTCAATAGATGGTTTCATGGTGAGCAGAGAACCAAACGACCATGTTTCTGTGGCTTTATGCTCCGAAACATAAAGGATCCTGCATGATTATTGGCTTGGATGTACAGTTTTAGGCAGAAAACTTTGCATCTGTTGAAAGGTTCTTTAGGGAGCCGGCAGTGGTTCTTCTGTGGCATCGCTCCAAAGAATACCTTTTCCAATCTTTATTTTTTAAGAGGATATCTAATGACTTGCTGTAGTTTGGCTTGAACACAATGCGACAGCCTTAAAGAGACGGTTCAGCCAAAAATCTAATTTACAAAGGTTTCTGACACTGTATGAGATGTTGTTATCTGGACATATAGCAACAGCCATTTTGAAGCCTACATTTTTTATCTGTAGTATTATTCATTTCTATAGCATTATGTCATACAGTGTCAGAAACCACACGAGTAACTCTGTTTAAGATTATTGAACGAGTCTACTGAGTTTAGGCAAGTATGTGATTATTTCAGCATGCAGTTTGCACAATGTAAATTGGAGGGGTATTAGCTTCCATTAGTCGTTATTTACAGTTGTATGCAAAAGTTTTGTCCCTCCTGGCCAAATTACATATTTTGTTGTTTTTTTGACGTGAAAAGAAGTGAACAGCAGCAAACTATTTTTTTAAAAAGTAGCATTTTTCTGAAAATGTTAATGCTCAGTTACTTTATATTTGACCAAATTTAAAACATAGTTGTGTCATAATAATTGTGGCAGGTCAGTACTTGGTAACATCCCCTTGAGCAGATATTATGGCTTGCGAGTACATTTTATAGCCAGCTGTAAGAGTCTTTCTGTTCTTATTTTAGGAATTTTGGCTGGCATGGTGTTCTTTGCATCAAATGCTGCTTCTTTTTTTGTCCAGACATAAAACGCAAAGTTACTGTGCATGAACATTGACAGAAAAATGTTTTTCTTTTATCTTTAAAAATCAATTTAAAAATCAGCCCCTAAACTTTTCCGTACAATTGTACTTTAATCTCTTAGCTACAGTGCAAAACTATAAAGAAGCAGTCTTTAGAAGCAGAAAATTGTGTAAATGTGATGTTTGGCACAGCCATAAGGAATCTGTGTGTGCAGAATTTTTGGGTCGTTGCTAAGAAAAGTGCTAAATTAATTTTGCCGGCTTCCTTTTTTTTCAAAAAGCTAATTATCAAAATATTATCACACTAATTGTTCACGGATATGGTTTGCTATCCTAGTGAAGCTAAAATAATATATCAAGTAGTGCAGCAGCCTTTTGTTTTCACACACCTGGTTCCTTTTTTTTAACTGTCCACCAGAGAAGCCTCTGCTGCGAAATCTTCTCACAAAGCAGAGCTACTAATAAGAGCTTTTGTCGCTGTTACGACACTTTTGTAACCTGCATGTCTGACCCTTTCTTTTTCAGAGAGCAAACTTCTCTCTAAGGGTCTCTGTCATGAAAGGCAAGAATCTCATGGCTAAAGATGCCAACGGTGAGAAGTTTTTGTTGGCTTTGTAGTCTCTGCAGTGTTCCTGCACTTTAGTAGGGTAATACCGTAGAACACGCTGTGCCATCAAGCATTATGTGAGTGTTGGCACTTTGGAGAGAAAATGGTTCCAGTTAGAAATAGATAATACCATTATGTTTCTTTTCGATCTTATACTGAAAAAAGTTTAGGCTGGAATATATTTATATAGGCAGAAAACCTATATTACCTATTATGCATTCATTCAAATATGTTGTATATAAAATATTGTATACAGTCTTTGCATTAGTATTATCAAAATTTTCCAGTCCAGCCTGTTTATTTTTACTAAACAACCCGTTAATATAATTTTATGCTTCTCAAGCAACTTTTACAGGTTTAAAATAACCTAATATTAGGGTTGTGACTAAATCTGCCTTTGTCTTATGTGACATATTCAACATATCTTTTTATTTACACATTCACTTTAATAAAAATGTATTACATTTTTGAGACACTTGGTAGCATTTAGTAAGGGTTTTTTTTATATAAGAATCAAGTCGTAAAGCGAGTTTGGTGTGAAATGGTTAACTGTAGAGAAACATAATTATTATTGTTTAAACAGTGGTGGTGAGAGGAACCAGGGTCGCGATGTCCGCAACATGGATATAGTCAATTTATTTACTTTTTTTTTCTTATATTTATTTAAAAAGGTACAGTTTTAGGCCAAAACCTTTTCTCAAAACTATCATAAGACAGTATCTCAGATATCAGGTACTGTATTCATAACCATTTCATGGAATAGCTTTGTGTCAGAGGTAGGTTGAGTAAACTAAATCAATTCTCAAGTAAAAGTATTGATACTTGGCTAACATAATGATGCAAGTGAGAGTGAAAGTACCTTCCCAAAAAAACAACTTAAGTAGAAATACAAAAGTATCAGGCCAAAAATCTACTGAGCTGAGTAACTTATAGAGCTGCAGTGGAATGTCTTAGTAGTAGCAAGAACTGAAGTGTGTACAGATCTGTTCATCTCATTGTGGGATTCTTATGGTCCAAAATAAAATGCTAAAGGGCTGAAGTCAGAGGGGTGGCCAATCTCAAAGCAGTACAGATGTTGTCATGTACAAAACTGAATTACATTAAACACAAAAAGGAATTAGTAATTAAATTTGAAGGTAACTAGGTAAAAAGCAGATTGCTTTACTCACTAATCTAATGTAATATAATTTGAAAGTACTCAGGAGAGCTCAGATTCATCAGTCTTGTAGTGAAATCCATGTACTTAATTAAATGTAACTAGTAACCTCAGCTTTCTATGATGTAGCATTTAGAGGTAATAAACACTTCATATGTCTGGCTCCTATCACCACCACTGTGATCAATTCTGACCCAGTAAGTGTCTCTAGAACAGACCATTTCACATCAGACCACTCTGAATGACTTTGTTTATATCTTAAACATTTAATTATGCAACAAACATCAGGATCAATTCAGAATCAGGGCAGCCCATCCACTGTATATTCCTTGTCAGTGTTAGTGTGGGAGGATGTTTTTTTCTGTATTATTTCTGGAAGAGTTTGACCTTATTTTGGTTCACTGGGGGCTGTGTAGGTTACAGCGACCCATACTGCATGCTAGGAATTCTCTTGGGACAAAGCCCCCGAGAGACAGAGGAAAGGAAAGAGAGGAAGTTTAGCTTCCGCAAGAGAAAGGACAAGCTAGAGAAGCGCTCCAGCGTCAAAGAAGTGCTGGCCGCAAGGGACATCCATGTGACCGAGGTGAAGCCTGAGACGCTGAACCCCGTGTGGAATGAGCACTTTGTTTTGTGAGTAGAAACAACCATGTTTCAATTTGCTTTGCTTAACAAGGCATGAGAGGCACAGTAATAGAAATGCAGTCGATCATAATTGTTTAATTTGTTTTTGTACATGCATATTTGTGAACTTTTCACACTTGGCAGCATTCGAAATGTTGTTAGTTTGCAAGTGGAAATGACCATGAAATGTAACATTTGTCTTTACCTTTTTTACTCAGTGACATTGATGATGTCCAGAATGATGTTCTGCATTTGGACATATGGTAAGATGTTTGTTAACATATAAACATATGAACACTGATATACTTAAAAAATGAATGTAAACAGTACATAGGCAATTAAGCTTTGAATGTTTATCAGTATTTTGTAGGTTCTTCTCTAGCCTTCATGACTACCTCTTATTTTTTATTAGTCAGCTGATTGCTCATGCCTGTCATCTAGAGCCAGTTTCCCAGATTAAGCTTAGGCCAATACTAAAAGGAATTTCTGGTGGTGATTCACCATTGGCTCTCCAATTTGGCCCAAGATTTGGTTTAGTCCTGGGAACCATTCCCTGGTATTGGCTTGCCCAGTTAATTTAACATAAATTAGCTAAAGTGCAGAAAAAAGAAAGAAAAATGTTACGTTTGGCACATCTATAAAGAATCTCTGTGTGTAGAGATTTTGTGTTGTTGCTAAGAAAAGTGCTAAATTAATTTTACCTGCTTTTTCAGTAAGCTAATTGTCAAAGTATTAGCACACTAATTGTTCATGGATATGGTCTAGCATTTGCTATCCCAGTTAAGCTAAAATGAAACTCTAAACAGAAACAACCACTGTGAAAACTCTTTAAAAAAGTGTGTGTGTGTAAATATGTAAATATATATATATATATATATATATATATATATATATATATATATATATATATATATATATATTTACACAAATATTTACACATATATATATTTATATGTGTGTGTAGTATATTCCCCCTTGTGGATATAACAGACAGAGAAAAAGGCCTAAAAATTGACAGAACATAATCATAGATATACTATGAAATTTTGCAAAAACAATTTTTAAACTAAGTGAAAGATCGTCCTTCAAAAACTCCTTTTGGGCATTTATTAACATGAAACCAGTTGATTTAAAGTTTCTTCTTAGTGTTGTATTCTTACCCATTTCAACTCAGTTAAGTCACTCTAAAAGCAGTTAAACTTAATATTACAGATGCAGTTTAGAACCCGATGGGGCAAACTTTAAAAATGCATGAATTGCATTGCAGTTTTTGCTTGAATTCATGACTAGGCAGGCCCTAGGGGAGTTGGCATGGAATGACCCAGTTGCTAAATATCAGTATATGACATACGTGCATCTCAGAAATTCTTTCTGACTGGCAGAGTATCTGCTCTTCTCAAACCAGTCATCCATAAGCAAATAATCCATCTCATGTACAAGGTAACCCAGAAACCCAATTTCCTTCTCTAGGGATCATGACGATGATGTCTCTGTGGCTGAGGCATGTCGAAAGCTGAATGAGATCAGTGGGCTGAGAGGAATGGGCAGGTATGTCCTGTATTGTCGTGAGAATTAGCTCACAGCTGCCCACGAACCATGGAGAAGTCTATAATGCTGCTTGCTTTTGCTTCCATTTGTTGACACTTGAACCCATTATCACATTTAGGTACTTCAAGCAAATTGCCAAATCTGTGAGGGCCAATGGGGCGGCAGCATCAGGCAGCGAGGAGAACGCTGATGACTTTCTGGGTTGCCTGAACATTCCATTAAGCGTAAGTTCAATTGAATCCTGAGTGAAACAGTCCACACTGGTGGTTCTCAAATAGGTGGAATACAGCAGTGTTTAAGGTCTATGAGAAAATGTGAGAAAAACATAAAATATTACCCATCAAGCAACCAATTAGCCTAATTTCAAATGACTGTGACTAACCACCTCAACCAGTTTATAGCCCAGAGGCAGTAGCGCAACACTCCACACAAAGCTCAGTGCAAAAAAGCGAAGGATGTTTTCAAAGAGCAATTAACTATAAGCTTATAAAATACTAAAAAAACCCTATTAAGTACAGAAAAATCTGTAGTAGGTTGTAATACGCTTTACACTATGTGGCCAAAAGTATGTGGACACCTGACCATCACATCTGTTTGATCTTGGATATCTCATTTCAAAAGCACGGGTATTAATGTGTAGTATGTTCCCCCTTGTGGATATAACAGATTCCACTTTTCTGGGAAGGATTCCCACAAGATTTTTGGAGTGTGAGAGTTTTTTTTTTTTTTCTAAATAAGGAACATCAGCATGATTTCCAACACAAGGGTCACTACCTGTCTCAACAATCTGCATTTGTTAAATTGATTGGAAACTCAGTGGTTGGCTCTCTCTCACCAGGAGATTCCAGTGGTTGGCTATGATAAGTGGTTCAAACTCGAGCCACGGTCCAGTGCGTCTAAAGTACAGGGAGAATGTCACCTGATCCTGAGGCTCTTCACCACCCAGGTAAAGCAGTTCATCTGGATTAGACCAAACTCTAAACTCTAAAACCTCCCCCACCATCTCCCTTATCTACTTCTACTTGGAATAATTAATGTTTTGGGAGTGCACAGCTTTAATTTTTAAAAGGTGTAGCTTCTTCTAATTCCACATAATGCCTTTCAAATTAAAGCTAATGTTCTCCAAAAACTCTTTAGTGGTGGGTAATTATTGAAAAAGACAAAACCATTCAGCACTGTAATTTTCAAAAACGCGTTCTAAGGCAATTTGTTATCAATGGATTTGCCAAATACAAAAGGATTAGAATCATTAGAAAATTATTAGAGGCTTATTTTTGCCTGAATTGGAATTAAGGCTGTTCTGCCTGAAGTTCTTCTTGTTTAAATACACCTTTTACTCTGTTCCACAGAGAGACACTGCTTTGACTAAAATGGTCTCCAATGTGGTCATCCATCAGAAGCTGCTGAGTCAGATTTTGGAGTATGAGCACAGTCATGCTCAGGTTGGTATTGTATTTATATCTAACATAATTTACTAATTTTTGGTACAGATATAGAATTGTCATTGTATCTTCTCTGCTTGAAATCTCCTGCAGAAGGAACCCTATAACTGGAATGGACAAGTGTGTCCAGCAGCATGGACTGTGCTTTCCCATCATGCTGTGCAGGCTGACCTGTCGCCATTGCAGCAGGCAATCATGTGTGTACTCATTTCTTGTTCATTATAAGAACAAAGTCAGCCCACCACACTGCTTTTTAGCAACATAGCATTCTGGAGACGTTCATTGGCAGCACCAGACTGCGTGCATTTCATACTCTTGTTGTCATATCAGCTCTCATCGGCACTTCAAGTGTTTCAAGTGTTTATACCACCTTTAGGACCAAAATATTCTCAGTGTGTTCTTTTAAGAATAGTAACTAAAGCCAGGATTCCATCTAGCTGTCAAATTAAATTTAGACAAATGACTGAAGTTGCAAAAACTCATACAAATTAGACTGAGTTTCCGTCTGAGTTCCGTCCTTCTACTTCACATTTGCACAAACCCTTCTGAAGAATATGAAGCAGATCTACAGAGGAATCGTTAATATTGAGGAACTATTTGTTACTGTTTTGTTTAATTTCACATATTTTCAAGTATTTTACATCGTAAAATACAGTCTGGCAAACATAAGCTGGAACATCTGTCATTTTGCTGTCTAATTTTACCTTGTTTTTTTTGATAAGATAAAGATATAAGATAAGATATTAATTTATTCAGTCCACTGGTACCTTTAGCATTCTGTCATGTTTCATAGCTGTGACTGAACACAAAAAAAGAAACACCTATCAGTCAAATTACTTTAATTGCCTTTACAGTGTTTATTTATCACATTTCTTTGTTACAGGCAAAAAGTGTTTTCACCTCAAGCGAGTACCATTCTGTTGAAATGGTTTGAGTTCAAACACATTTCAGACTTTTAACTGACTTTAGATTAAAGTGCTTTTGTTTTGAGTCACCATATACCAAATAAATAATTGAACATTCCATTATGTCACTAACAATTATAAAACTACTGAAACTGTATTAAATGTTTCAATGCTAACTGTTTTGGTAGTGACTGTTTCAGTAGGGACAATTTTAGCTAATTTTGAGCAGAACTCAAAAATGTTAAGTTTACTTAATTGCTGAAAATTTGTGTTTCATTAGTGACAGTTCTTAGTGTTACAAACAGCTTCATTACTTGATGAGTTTTTAAAGTTTGAAAACTCCAAACTAAAGCTAGCACATATGTCTTTACTGCACTTAAATTGTTATGGAATTTAGAATGTTTTTTCATTATTATTATCTATGATTATATTATATTGATATTATTTTATTATTATATTTAAATATTATGGATCTAACTGCTAACTGTGTGACCATGAGGAACAGAGATGCAGTTTCACTTTCTGCTCTACAATGCAGGAGTGTGGCTAAAATAAGACTCTGTCTGTGGGTTAAAACTCTTTGTGTTTGTAACAGAAACTTGGGACAGCAGGCTTTTTATTAAACTCATGGTAAATCTGAGTCTTTCAACGTCACTTTAAAAGAAATCAAATAGATCTTTTAAAAAAGCACTGAAAAAAAGGCCAAAACAGTGCATTATTTTCACAAGCGGAAATTTAGGTGTTAGGGTTTGAGACAGCCACCTCCCACCATAAAGTTCCCTATAAATGACTACTTTGTATAGATTTAGCTCATTACTATATCAACTAATGCCTTGAATTTAAATACATCATTTACATGTTATAAATATTTATGGTCTAAATCCTTAGTTGTTTTTTAAATTGTTGTTTTACTGTGGGACTGCAGTTCTATTAATTCGGTAGAATGGTCTATAAACATTTATGTGAATTTTGGTGATCCCATTTGATATTTCCCATTTGTATCAATACTCTAAAATCTAGTTACTGTCAAATCGTTATTTAAGCAAAACTTTTTATACCTCTTTATTACCAAGGAAGACACTTTAATAAACATGAAGCTGAGTTTTACAAAATACATCCAAAGTATTAATACATAGCTGCATTATGTTAATAAAATATTTGCACAGCAAAAACAATAATTGTTTGAGAAAAAAATCAAAAAGATGGCAATGTGTGCCCAAACTTGACAACAAACGTAAGTTTATGCTCTAAGCCAAAAAATACCATCCTAATAAGGACATCACATCTGAACTTTGTGAACAAGCAAACTTCTGGCTAGTCAACTTGCATTTTATATGCTTTTGCAGTCGCTGGCAGTGCTATAGCAGCCACCATCACTCTCAGAGGATGTGCTATTCTCTGCTGCTTCGACTGCTGAGGGCCGTGGAGGCCGAGTGGGAGGCTGGAGATGTGCAGAAGGAGCTGGTAAGACCCCTTCTTCTGAAATCTCATTGATCCAGAATGGTGGGAAATGTTCATTCCATGGTGAAATGTCTTCGAAGCTCTGCTCTCGAGGGCTCTTATGCTTAGATACTGAGAGGATGTGGAAGTCTTAGAAAAGTGCTTTGAGTTAACTGACATTCATCTAGGAAGAGCTACATGTGGAGTGTTTCTGTGTCTCTTCTTGCTCTTAATGTTGGCTGTTGCTGCATGCATGCAGGAGAGCCTCTTGGCACAAAGCTTTAAACTCTACTGTGACTACTGCCTGTCTCTGATGAAGAGCATAAGGCAGGTTTTCCCCTGCACCAGCCCTATTGCCATCACACGGTGTGAGCTAATGCTGAGGTAAGCACATACACACTGTGGTTCCTCTTCATACAAAGTCAGGATAAGGGGTCATACATACAGTGGCCTCAGGAGTATTTGGCTGCTTTAAGCATTTAACCACTGATAAACATTAATGAAGTTCTTTAGGTTACTTCATCAAACTTTAAGTAGAATGACACCAAAACATCAAACTGATGATAGACTGTTTGTGTGGAGAAAGCCTGGACTACACTAAGGCTACTGTGAAGCACAGAAGTGCAAATATCAAAGTCTGGGGCTGACATTTTGGATGCAAACCTGCAGAAGACTAAGGAGAAGCTGCTAAAACAGTAACAATCTGAAACACAGCAGCCCCCTTTTGAAAGAATACTTTGCCAAAACAGAAAATTATGGTCTTGGAATGGTCGGTTTAAAATTTGTTAGTTTAAGTTACTTTAACCCCTTAAACGGCCAGAGTCCAAAGTTTTATTGCATGCTTCTATAACCTAAGAATAGCTCAACCAGTTTGCCTTGGAGTCCCTGTAGTTACTTAGTGATAAGGCTTAGTATGTAATAAGCCTGGGCTATTTAGGGGTTAAACGTTTGGTGTCTTCACTGTTATTGTAAAATGTGAAAAATAATAAAAATAAAAACCCTTCTATGAGTAGCTGTGACCAAACATCCTAACGTTTGACTGGTAGTGCACATTAATGTAATAAGATTTTATTACAAGTTTAAAAAAAAATGTTACAAGGTCTTGACATGTCAGTGATGACAGGACTGTGCAGAAATCAACATATATTTAATAGAAGCCTCAACAAACAAATACCACTTTTTCAATATTAACTGTCCACTGTTTGCCTTTATTACAGATTTAATTTTTTTAGGAATTAAAAAAATTAAAGTTCAGTCTCAGAAGTTGTTTGCTTTCACTGCTTCTCATGGTTTGAGTAATCCCAAAGGGATTCCCAGAGGTCTGGACTCTGGGGTGGACAGTCCATTGTTCTGAGAACACCAGTGGCTTCTTTGTTTGATTAATGGCTTCTTGACAGCTACATGTTCTTTTAGACTTATAGCACAGAGTTGTCTTCATACAGTGGAAGGATGGACAGAAACATATGTATGTTTTTTTTTTAAGTACTGTTTATCTGATGGTGATAGTTTTGGTGGTCTAGCAGATCTTGCACGGTTGTTAGGTGTCCCATTTTCTCCATATCTTTTAATCATTTTTTGAACTATAGTTTTGAAAACTTGTGTTTTTTTTTTTGTTTTCCTTTGACTTTCCCCTTCAGGACCACCTTGTCGGTCTTTACATTGTAGGTTTTTCTTTGGGACATTTCAGGACATACACACGCACACACTCAGTTCTGAAAGCACCGAACTCGGCAGTCTATTCAAATTCAAATCTTTTTCGCCTGTCAATAAAGTAGCTGTGTGTGTGGAAGTCCGTGTTGCTGTGCCCTTTCTGGTTCTGTACTCTCTAGGGGGGTCTGTATCGGAAAGAGGGATTTGGAAGAATTGATATCCTGTGGGGCTTTTTCCACTGTTGCTTTTAAATATAGTGTAGTGCACTGGTCTCCAAAGAGTGAGTCAATAATACTAGTGCACACACATACACAAGCACACATATTCTGCAGTTTGATTAAATATGCTGACAGAAATGACAGATATGGTCCCAGTCTGTTTGCTCTAGCTATTGACAGTATACAGTGCACATGCAAATAGTAGTGTGCACTCAATGTGAGTCTGAGAGCAAGGTGGATTTTATTTCTATGCCTGTTCCTGTGATTTATGCTTTTTTGTCCCCATTTCAAATGTAGGACTATTGGGCAGATGCAGTCAATGCAAGCATTTAAGGCAGTTTGTCCCAACCGCAATGAACTACACCTGGAAATAGCGACTGTTATAAAGGTATGATTGACCCAAACTAACTAGGATTGCCTATTGTTGTCAATCATTGAGCACTTTCTGAGTTACTCAGGTCCTCCTCTTGCAATTTTCCCCTCTGAATACAGAAAGGCACTGTTGAGTGGTATGAGGCGACAATTTCACACTTCAAATCAGATGAAGGGGTAAGTGTCTATATTCACAAAAAAGTATGGCTCAGCAGAGTTTCTATTTATGTCATATTTCATTAATGGGCTGCTGTCTGAACAGGCAAATTGATGGTGGGGTACCGAAGCTTTTATTGACTGATCGTTCTCTTTGCTGTTCTACACTCAGACTCTGGAGGAGCAGCTGAAGAGACTGGTTTTGGTGGTGGATGCGGTGTGTGTCGATGTTCAGAGAGGGCAGAATGTCTACAACAAGCTCTTTCACAGGTAACAGCCCAAGATCCTGACCACTAGTGGCCATATTGTTTTTGGATATTTAGTTTTAACTAAATAATATGATGATATGTTGCAATATGGAATTGTTATCGGAATAAATGACATTGCAATATGGTTTTCTTAGTATATTAATGGTGTCATTAAAAGAGTAAGAGGCTGTGATTTACAGTGATTTTATTTTGGGTAGTGGTTTTTATAGGGTGTTTTTTTTTTTATATGATGGCCACAGCATAAAATATGATAACAATAAATATGATACAAACAAATTTTCAATAAATAATTTCTTGTTATTAATAAACATTTTTTTTTCCAAGAAATGTAGTTCATTTAGTGTATTCTATTATTGCCAAGCATGGGCTATTTAAGGAGGACAAGTACATTCAGTCAACCATTATCGTATATTGCAGTAATTTCACGAACTTTGTCATTTTTGTCATATAATAATGAAAATACCGTAATATTACAGTGTTTAGAAGTAGTTTTTGCTCACTTCTTTCGTCGGTTACAAGTTTAGAACTTGAAAAAAATGAAATACTGTGATACATATCATGTATCATGAAAATTTACTGTGATGTTATATTTTTGTCATATCGCCCACACTTCACTGCTTCTGATCATATTGGATTTCTGGTTTTCTGGTTTTTCTGCTGCTAGATTGGTTGGGTTGGACAGGTTGGAAGCAGTGGGGTAGGACTGTAGAAACGAAGTGCTGCTGCTATAGTCAAATTAATCCATGGAAGTCTGGAGTTACTCTCATCATTTTCCTATACAATTTTTTTAATTCATTAATTAAATTAATTGCCATTGTAATAATTAATGGCATAGAAAATTATGTAAATAATTACATTTCAATTTGATTTATATTTTGCATGTTTTAATGTCAAGAAATAACAACAAAACTCAATACTACAAAACAATACTCTATGCAAAATATGTGGTATTGATTGAGTTTAGAATCCCCAGTTCTGACAGAATTAACCTGCCTGTTCGAGCTGTGAGTGAGAAATAATTAACACTAAATTACACCATGACTCTTGTTATCGCTAGGAACCACTGAGACCTCTAAGGGTTAAACAAATTAGCAGCCTCACGAGAAAGAGGGACTGCAGTCATTCCCATCTGACAAAAAGTGAGTTTGTTATTTCTTTCAGCTCGGTGAAGGTGGACTTCTTCAGCATCTCCTTTCGGCAGTTGGAGAAGCTGGTGCGTATGTAAATGCGAATGAAACACAATTCACCTCCAGTTAATTGTTCCATTGATAAACATGAATTGGGAGAGAGGGGGACTAATGGAGAACCTTGTGTCCAGGTGGCCGATGACGTGAGCGTTGCCATGGAGCGGGTTTGTGGGACCTTGGAGCAGGAGAGCTCTCGGTTGTCCCAAACCATGGGGGAGACCCTGTTTGAGCTGTTCATGTCTCTGAAGACCCTCAAACGCTTCAGGGAGTTTCTGCCCCTTAGGTGAGTCACCACGTCCCTCGGAATCCATCTGCGAGGATCAGATGATCACTGGACCCTCAGCTGTGTCATATGAAAGAGAGTGACTCATACAGCGGGAGGGTGGCCATATGTGGCAGATAGATGAAAAAGTTATTGTAGCTATATTTGGCTCAGGCAGACTTTGCATCGATGCTGAATGTTCTGGCGAGTGCTATTTATAAATGATGAATCATAGATAGGCATCTGTTTTGTGTGCACGTTTCTTTTTAGAGACACTAAGATGCTGGCGCTGACTGGATTTCACAACTGGTTCAAAACCTCCATCCACAAATGGCTGCAGATCGTACATGAGAAATCGATGGAGAGAATCCGCAAAGCAGTGGAGCAGGACCAGGCAAGTTGGATGCGGAGCGAGGGAAAATATAGAAAGTCCTTGGCTTGATTGCACAACAAGCTTTAAGAGACGTGGAAATATGGCCCCTATTTACATAATGACCCTGGAAAGCCAGTCTGTCTGATTTCCACTTCCTCTGGTGTGAAAAATGAATAGTTTTCTTCCTGCTAGGACACAAATATCTCACATTCAAGTGTACCAGCAGGGTGTACCTTTACTCTTTATCTGCACATTTGTCTGATCGGATGTGTAGCAAGAGGTCTATTGTAAGGCTTCTTGTCACTGTAAGTGGGTCTATATATGTGTGTATATGTGTCACAGTTGGAGCCGGTCCCGCAGGCGAAACACAGCATCTCAGCAGTGGATGTCACCACATGCTTCGGCCAGGTGCGAGAATTCTGGACTCAGCTGGCCTGGCCCGACTCAGCAGGGGCTTTCATCTTCATCACTCGTCTGACCGATGTGAGCTCATGCACATTTAGACCATCTTGAAAACACATTTAAATAAATGGCCCAGATAATGGAGAAACCATAGTTTCTTTGATTTTTTAAACAAAAGAGTTTCAAGTACATTGTAAAGTTTCAAAGCATATCATTTACTGCCCAGTCCATATGTGGAAACTAATGGTCCTAATGGTTTATCCACCAGGCAGTGCAGTGTGGCAGGGTATGGTTATAAATCTGTGATCACTCATTTTGCTGTCATTTCCACTGCCAAGTGAGCTGTACTATACCTGAGTACCCGTGCTGAGTTTGGTTAGCCTTCTTGCTGGGATACCAAGCGTCCTGAGCTGGAACACATGGGTGGAGTTAGTTATGCTACAAACCACTGTTTGATTTGATGGAGTTGACAGTTTGTCTCATACATTTCAGCACAGACTCCTTTTTGAACAAGACACAATAACAGGGAGCCAATCAGAACAGAGACCATTTACATATATCTGTCTCAAAGCTGCAGTAAAAGCTTGTTTAACTCTAAGGGATAACGGGAGGCTGAAGAACAGTCACGTAAAATTAGACTACAACTATTGTTGGTACATAAAACTATGTATAAAATAGGAGTTCTTCAAATAAAAGCATAGTACCAGTGATATATCACAGGTTCCCTGCATGGTTCTGTTCTATTCTCTTTGGCACAGAATTTCTGCAGTGAGGCGGTGTCCTACTCTGAGCTCTTGAAGCGCAAGATCGAGAGGAGCCAGCTGGGTCGAGACCACCGGAGCTTTACAGTGCAGGTACGTCCCCCTGGGCAGCGGAGGTGTGTGTGGGGTGGGCAGGGAGGGGGGGGGTGGCGGTGCGCGGTAGGCTTTCATTGTGTGGCTTGGTAAATGTCAGCATGGAGGTTTTCTCCCTCACAACAATGCCATTTCAGTGGCATGCCTACACCGTGATGCTTCTGCCTTCGTTACCTCCTGGCTTTCTGTTTCCCGCCATTTATGTCCACCACCTCTGCCTTCCTCCCACCCCTTCTAGACCTCCTTATTTTCTCCCTCCTTCTCTCCCCTTTGCTCTTGTCACTTCCCTCCTGTCCTTCTCTTCCTCTTCCTCCTTCTCTTTTCTTTTCGGGCAGCTGTGTGTGGCACTGAACGACACGGAGCATGTGCGCGTGTACTTGGCCGGGTTGCCGCGGGAACTGGACTGGCGGGGGGTTGAACAGGCCATGGAGGAGTCGTGCGGGGCAGAGGGAAAGGAGCAAGTGAACAAAGCCCTGAACGGTCAGCTCTACAACGCTGACCTGGACCTGCAAAGGGAAACTAAGCGCATGATTACACACCTCACTGATAAGGTAGGGGAGACTGAGGTCCACAATTTTTGGTCAATTTCAGGAACCAAATGCTTTAAAGCACTGGCACTCTAAAGCCACATCTTGGTGTTACGTATCCATATCACCCAAATGCTTCTATCATATACCTGTCTGAATATAGTTCAAAAGTCCAAAATGTCCAAATTGCCACCTCCTACAGGGGGATGAAATACGTAGGGATGGGCATGGTTATTCAGGTACGCAGATATCTGAGTTCAATTTACTTTAGTTTTTCTGTACTTAATTGGGTATTTGAATAAAGCATGTGTTGTTTGGAACAAACAAAATAAAATAAATTGTGTATATCATCATTTTTGAGTCATTTTTGCTGAGAATGTGGCATAGAACCATAGAGAAGGTCATGACACCAGCACCTGATATTGTGCCTCACATTAAAAAGCCACGTTTATGTCATTTTACAAGGAAGCAAAATAAAGCATTATACATTACTGATAAATGACAATTATAAAATTAATCTTAAACATATACCATGTATTCTGTGCAAATCCCTTGATTATCATTCAATTTTGTAATTTTGTAACTATTCTGTAATATATTAGCTTTATGTGATGATCTGTTCTACAGCAGTCAACACAGACTGTATTTTCATGGGCCAATACACAACAGGGTGTATTTTCATGGGCCAATTTCAGAATGTTAAAAACACAAATTAATTGTCCTATGAATGTATATTGATCCTGGTTTAAATAGCTGGAGGCCGATGGGCAGACAGGCAGGTAGGCTACAGCTGAGGGAGGGAGAAAGAGGAGTAAGCAAGTGTGTGATGCATTTGATGTTATGTTATGGTACAGTGCCCCCTCCTGATTTCTTCTATTTGTGACCCTTAATTGTTTCAGATATGCAAACAAAATTTAATATAGAATAAAGACAATCTGCATAAACACAATATACAATTTTTAAATGATCATTTTATTTATTGAAAGCAAAAAGCTAGCCAACACCAGCTGGCCCTGTGTGAAAAAGTAACTGCCTTAACTGCCCCTTAGTTTCTCAATCAACATATTAACCAATGTGATTGATAATTGGGATCTATTAAACTAGACATACCCAGTCTTCATTACTGCCAGCCCTGTTAAATAAAAATATAACTTAAAAAGAACCTTTCCAGCAATGTTAGGTAGGCTAAAAGGACTCATCAAGCAGCACACTATGCCATGTTCAAAACAAATTCCAGAAAAGATGGGAAGGAAAGATACTGCAATAAATTTCCAGTCTGGAAAGGGTTCCAAAGCCATCTCTAAGGCTCTGAGACTCCAGTAAACCATTATGAAAGCCATTATCTCTTAATGGAAAAACTTGTTTAGTCTTCCCAAAAGTGTCTGGCCAACCAAAGTTCCTCCAAGAGCACAACGAAGACTCTTCCAAAAAAGTCACAAAAGAACCCAAGTGAACGTCTAAGGAACTGCAGGCCTCGCTCACCTCAGATAAGGTCAGCATTCATGACTGCAAAAATAGAAAGGGACTGTGCCAATATGGTATCAGAGTTGCAAAGTGAAAACAACTGCTTACCAAGAGGACAATAAGGCTCATCTCACTTTCGATATAAACACCTTGATGACACCCAAACATTTTGGAATGTTTACTGATTAGTCGAAAGTGGATCTTTTTGGAATACAGGAGTCCAGTTACATCTGGTGTAAAGCTGACACATATTTGACTGAACCATGTTTTGTCATCAGTCCATGATCTGAAGATCAAGCACGATTGGGTTATGCAGCAAGACAATGATCTGAAGCACAATAGCACGTTCACCTCTGAATGGCTCAGAAGATAGAGGATTAAGATTTTGGAGAGGCCTAGTCAAAGTCCTGACTTGAACCTCACTGAGATGCTGTGTCAGGACCTTAAATGGGAAGTTCATGCTCCGGAAGCCCTCCAGTTAGTTTTTCGCATATGGCTGTTGCAAAAATTTATTTCCTGCAATAAATTAAATGATCATTTAAAAACAGTGTTTCATTTTTTCTCCATTTTCTTCTTGTCTTATACTACATTTTGTTTGAGGATCTGAAACCATTAATTGTAAAATATGCAAAAAAGCAGAAATCATGAAGGATGTTTTTTTCACAGAGCTAATTATTAGCTTACATCCACGTCCTGAAAGTTGAAGGTGGAAGAACATGTATGTAATGTCAAGAAAAAGAGATCTCATTAATTTGACAATGGCAACTAAAATAATTTTTTAAAAAGGGGAGTAAGGTTATATACAAGTAACTCAAGTTAACAGAAGGGAAACCTCAGCAAGAAGAATGGGAAGGAGACACAGGGAGCGGGAGAGAGATGTGCACCCCAGGTGAAGTAAACTTTAGCTAACTAGGTAGTGTGAATAGTGACAGAGGAGAAGAATATGTAGTTTTTAGTTAGTAAAAAAAAGATTTAGTTGTTAAAAGGCAGGATTTGCAGGGGTCCATCTAATAAAAAAGTACCCTTAAGAGGTAAAACCAAAATATGCCAATGATGAAAACATTGAAAACATGATGACAGTTTTGTACAGTGTTTGTGCCATCCTGAGATAGCATTCTTGAGATCAGCTGGTAGCGTGTTAAAGGGGAATTATTTCTGCACAATTAAATGGTGTAAACAAAGTTGTTCAGGTTTGATGCTTCATTGTAGGGAAACCAGACATCAGATGTGTTTAATGCTTCTGAAAGCTACCCCACATAAAATTGTTACACAAATGAGTTATGAGTTCATTGCCTGATTCCTGAAACATTGTTTTACGATAATTTTGCAATAGATTTTTGGCCTAAAACACATTTTAGTATATGCTCGATAGAGAAATACAACCAATGTAATGTAGAGCCCTAGAAAAATATAGTTTTTCAGATTTACCACTATTTTACCATTATCAACATTACATTTTTGGTCATTTTTGACAGGGAAATAAGATGGCCATATTGTAGATATTGTAGATAAGCAGGAATTTTGAGAAATCAGTTGAATTCCCCTTTAAAACACTAAAACCTAAAATACAAAGATAAGTCGCCACATCTGCTTAAACCTTCATGGTTTTGCTTTTTTATTTTTTTAGACAATTTATTTAAAATGCGGATCTTCAAAGAGTGAAAATGACAGAAATGTCCATTCCTAGTAATCAGATATGGGACTGGTTATAACATCCCTGTTGACTGTGCCTTCAAAAGAAACAGGTGTATTTTTTTTAACATGAATTCTGTTATGCAGTAAAAGATTCAGAAGACTAGGGGGTGGTGTTTACGGGGGATGGGGTGGCTCACTGGACATTGAGTAGTACTAACCAATATTACTCATCCGCATCTTCAAAGTGAGGCCAATGAATCGTGGTCATTAGACATGGAGAGTAGTCACAGCATCTTTCACTCTTCTCCTGCAGTCTTTGCTGCTTGAGAGGACCTTTGAGGCGAACCATTATGGAGCACGTTTAATAAAGAGCTGTTCATCCTGTATTAGCTTTCACGGGTAGATGAACTCCTGCATGCTGGGCAGAGGCTTTTTTTTCAGTCGTTGTTGACGACTCTCTGTTTGGGTCATTTTGTGCAGATGCTTCCTGAGCTCAGGAGATACATTCAGCACATCAGCCTCTCTCCAGACACCATAAACAATGACGATGTGAGTACAGCGGTCTCAGTGATTTGCTTGACGGTGTGAGTTTTCTACAGTAATATATGCATCAGTGACCACTCTGTGTTGTAAACTGCTCCAGGCTGTGTCTCCGTTGATGAAATACCTAGATTCCACCTTAGTCATCCTCAATGAGTCACTGGTGAAGGAGAACCTGGCAAGGTAATTACCTCCATCATTACATATTATTACAGCACCCGAAGGGAATGGCTTGTAATAACACCCTAGCTTGTAGTAACTGTAAATATCAGCGACATGAGGAGTTGTATTTACGTGCCTACCTTTCGTGATGTGATGGAGCACAGACGATTACTGTTAGTGTGGGTAGTATTTATGTGTGTGGAGTATGTGGTTCTCCAACGCTCTTGTACGGCAGGGTTCTCCAGAGTCTTTGGGAACTGCTGCTGAGGATGATCCTGGATTCAGTGGCTGAGAACAGAGGGGTCCAGGTGGAGTTCTACACACGGTTCCAGTACACCATAGAGGTTAGTTGATCATGAGTTGGAATGGAGACTGTCACATTCGAGCCACATTCTTAGACTCCCGACCACAGATGGCTGTGGCATTGCTGAGTATCAAACTCTCAACATTTAAACAGTTAAACCCTCACTTTAATTCTAAAGACCACAGCAAGTGCTAAGTTTAATTTCCTGCTAGCTTCCATTCAATTTGAGTCACGATCACTTTTTTGACTGAAGTATTCCTTTAATACTTGCAGTTTCCACTCTCAGCATCCTGGCATCATGAGCACCCATCAGATATTCATCAGTCATCTTGGCAACCACTCGTCCGTGTATTAAGGGGAGTCCCCACAAGAATGACAATGTGCGAGTAGCACTATTCCAAGGGACAGGAACTGGCAGGAACGCAGGACAGATTTGCATGAAAAGTCATGAGTTGCTGGGTTGCGTGGGCGAACATGCTGTTCTCCATATAGTTGCTCCATTAGCATAGCAGGGATCCCATGCTGTTAGAAGAGTGTGCAGGTCTGCTAGAAAACATTGGCCAAGTGGCTTCTAATGAAAGGTGGGCTGGACGGCTGAAACAAGGCTGCAGAGAGCCCTGGAGATGTATTAGCACAGACGCTGCGAAAAACCTTGGGAACTTTGGGAAAGTGTTTTTTTATCACTGTTGGTGTCTTACATAATGTTGCTGTTGGAACAAAACCTTATATCTCAAAAACCTCATATTATATATCCTTTATAGGAGAAGAAAGAAGCATTCTTAACCTTTAAAGTAAGTTAACAGAATAAGATAATATTATATTATGTTCAGACCATTTCTTTTGGTCCATTTATTATAAAACGTTGACACAGTGTAAACAGTAGCTGGTGTTTTCAAATTATATTAAAAAAAGTCAAAAACGAAGATACAATGTTTTGTGCTGACAGCAATGATAAGTGTTCAGCCTTAAAATGACTCCAGGCAAAAAACTAATTTACAAGTTTTATCTTACTCAATCATATACTGTACATATAATGGAAACTGATGCGTCACCCATTAGCATCATGCAAACCACATGTATAATCATAGCACACTTGCTTCAAACCAAATAGTCTTAAATAGACTCGTTTATGTGGTTTTCGACATGCTGTTATGAGCAGAAGTACTGTGCGTAGGTGAAAACAGTAATAACAAGCCTGAATTTAGTCTGTAGTTTTAACAGTTTGCCTTACAGTATAAAAATTTGAGTACCAAATATGTCTTGACTGACTGACAAATATGTCTTGATTACATTTGATTTAAGAGGAAAACTGTGAGTTTGAGTTTTAGTGGAAACTTTTTTTTTAATTATAAGCCTTTTCTCTCAGACTCTTGTGCGGTTCTTCCATGCCGATGGTGAAGGGCTGCTGCTGGAGGATCTCAAAAGTGGAGACTACAAGGTAAAAATGGGCTCCTTACATTGGTCAAATAGTGACCAGTGGTAACTGACTAAATGACTTGCCTGTAAATCCATTTGCTGTTTTTCAGGCCCTGGATGAGGAGCTGCGACTGAACAAGTGTTCGTCCTTCGAGCTGATCGAGCAGTACTTCCTGGAGAAGATCTCTCAGCAGGTAGGCTGCAGCCCTGCTGGGCTCTGCCTCCAGTCCTGTAGAGAGAGGAGGTGTTGATTAGGAGCTGAGATATCACAAAGACTTCACTTCCTCTGATGATTAAAAGTTTACGCCACTCATTTCCACTTCGACCTAGACGTGTTTTGCACCATGCATGGCACTTTGGGTGCAGTCTCAGTCACTTATTTGCCACCAGAAGAAGTAATCTGGCCAAAGTAGTTAGCTGTGAGCATAATCCAGCTAAGTTTGTATGTTGACTAAGATCTAGAACTGGAGTCGTTTAGGCCGGAAATGGATGCATCGATCTAAAGATGGCGATTCAACTGCATCGATTTCAATGTTAAAATCATTTATGATTGATTATAATCATGTTTGGTTTAGTGTGAGCTCAAATTTGCAGGTCATTTCAAGAATAAAAATCCAAAAAAGCCTGATGTATTGTACATATGTCAATATTCCACTTCTGTGTAAATAGCTTCTCTAGTCACATTTGTGTATTCAGTCTTGTTTTTAAAAATAATTCTGAATCACACCAAGATAAATTGAATCCTGGTGGAATTTGAGATTTCATGATGCTTTGAATCGTGACCTACATAGCCATAATCAAACTGAACTGTTTTGAAGTCAGAGATTTACAACTTTGGTATCTGTCTTTCAGAGAATTCTGAAGCACAGTCGGTTTGGCCGCATTAGTGTGAAATGTTACTATGATGCCCCCGAGCAAAGACTCACTGTGGAAATTTTGCATGCAGCTGACCTCATTGCCCTGGATGCTAATGGTGAGCATGAAAATGACCTGAGCTACACTATTGATCTGGAGTTCTTTCTAACCTCTGACATATACTTGTTTTGATGAAACCTACATTGCTTGTAATATAAACAGTGATTTTAAATGAAGCATTTTCTAAACTGCACACCTGTAAAAGCATCTTGATTGTGACCTTTATGTCATAAATACCATCTCCTCTCTCTTGTCTTTCCATCAGGGCTGAGTGATCCATTTGTCATAGTAGAGCTCTGTCCTCACCACCTCTTCCCCAACTCCAGAAGTCAGCGCACTCAAGTGAAGCTCAAAACGCTGCACCCTGTTTTTGATGAGCTCTTCTACTTGTGAGTAGACCTGACTGGATAAATGTGCATCTCTGTTATATTTGAACTGTCATTGAGTGCTTAGAGTGCAACTACCAGGCTCATCATTTTTACCCCAGTAACAGGTCATTATCAAAATGTATCATATATACAGACGGATGACGAATGAAAAGAAAAGGCAGAATAAGTAGAGAAACATAATGAGGGCAGATGTCTCCAGACAGGTGTACTGCATGATACAATTAAGCTATTAATAACACACCATGCTCTGTGGTATGTGTGAAAAATCTGTAAAGTCTGCTCAACTGGCTAGTGTTAATAGGAAAAGTGACTAAAATGGCATCTGCATTTAGATCTATGGAAAAGACTTAAGGTTGGAATTTGTACATGCACAATCAGTGACCATGATAGCTGGGAATGACATGATCAGACTGTTGACACAAACAGTTCATTGCTACCTGTATAGAGAGGGATATTAGAGTAGTGGTTGTAGTGCATAAACCACCCATTACAAATGGGGAAAAAAATACAGTACGATGAGCCATCTTTCACCATATTCTCAACAAAGAGACACCAAGAGAACCTACAGTGAAGGAGTCCAGTGGTTCTCATGTGCTTTGGGGGGCACTTGTCCTTTTAGAGGGAACCGTTACTGCAAATCAGTACAAAGTCATTCTGACTGATCACCTTTGGGAATGGTCTCTTCCAGGATGCATGAGGGGTCACTGAATGGTTTCATGAGTATAAAAATGATGCAAGTCATATTCTATGGCTTTCACAATCACCAGATCTCAAACCAGTTGAAACCAATAGGATATTTTGCACCAGTGTGTTAGACAGTGCTCTCCACCACCATCATCAAAACATCAATTGAGAGGAACATATTTGGAAGAATGGTGTTCCATCCCCCCAGTAGAGTCCAAAAGGCACATTGAACCTGTTCTGGCAGCTTGTTGGACCCAACACCTCAATAAAACACCTCGTTGTTTTTCCTTTTTAATTTGTCATCTGTCTGTGCTATCTGTTTTATCTGTTAGTAAAACTAGGCATGAGATGGATGAAGTGTTTTCTGAAAAGTTTCCCCTTACCACAAAATAGTCACTCATCGATCAGCCACTGTTATCAATAACAATGGACAAAACTACATCCCACAACTGTAAACAGTGGGAGCAGCCAACTTCACGCCTGAATTTATATAGATAGCAGTGTCATACAGTGTGGGATATCAAGCCAGCCTATCTGAGATTACTTAACAACTCCACATGGTTTGTGGGAAGTGTGCAGTGATTTCGCACAGTGAAGTTTGCACAATGCTAATTGTAGATTATAAACTTCCAGAGGCAGATATAGGACACCAAGCATGTCTTGGCTGATTAACTACATTTGCAGTAGGGGAAAATTGTGCAAATTTAAGTTTTACACTAAACTATTTTTGCCTTTGTAAGGAACCCTTATAAGATACTATATAGCAGGGCTGAAGCACTCTTAAGGCCAGATTCTTACACAGTTTGGTAATTTTACAGGTCAAGCACACCTGATTGAACTCATCACTTCATTGCCAGGCTTTGGTGGTTTAAGCAGAGAAATCATCAAACTGCGCAGCCCTCAGTTCCCCTGGCATTTACCAAAGTGTCAAATTACTAGTGCTCTCTCAGGACTTTCTCTGCTGGTCTCTCCACAGTCACGTGAGTCCTGAGCAGTACAGGCACAGATTTGCCTGCCTCACCTTCACTGTGATGGATTATGATTGGCTGTCCACCAATGATTTCGCCGGTGAGGCAGTGGCTCCTCTGAGTGACTTCTGCTGGCCAGGCCGACCCAATGCGACCCCTGCCGGGAAGACCGTGCAGCCCTTCATCCTACACCTGTCCCGTCAGAAACCAAGCGGTATGTACCTTCTCACTCACCGTAGACATACAGAAGACATACAGCTAAAGAAGGAACCCATAAGATAGGGTCTTATGGGTTCAGAGACATGATAATTCCTGGTGGATTATCATGTCTCTGAAGAACTTTTACCTTCTTTGCTTTTGGAAAGGACTGAACTTGAGTAGAGTACAGGCCAAAAGTTAGAGAGCAGTACTAAAAAGGTCTTTTTTTCAAGAAAGCACACATTCAATACAAAATGAAAGACCAACTGTTTCTCAGGTGACTGAGAATGTCAACGCAGGAAATGATCAGACAGAGGAAGAACAGTCCGTCCACTGCTATGTAGAAAGGGATACTATAGTATTGTAGTAGAGTTGCAGTGCATTAAAGCCTCATTTTAAAGACAAATGCACACTTGAGAGTTCAGTGATGTAAAAACCACAGTCACTGGCCTACAGAGACGTGGAAAAAGTGATATATTCAGATGAGTCATCCTTCACCATATTCTCCACAAGTGGGTGAGTGCATGCGTCGCCTACACCAAGAGAATACAGTACAGGCGGTTTGTAAGTCTGAAAGCAGCACTTAAAAAAAGACAGATAAGAGATAAGTGTTTGACTCAAATGTCCTCAGCAATCGTGTACATCTAGCGGGTTCTTAATTTGCTTTGCTGCTGGTTATTCCCCTGCAGCTCTAAAAATATCCACCTGAATCATAGTTTTAGATGTTCATGAGGGTTTCGTTAACTAAATTAGGTGTGTTAAATCAGGAGTATGCAAATAATGTAAAACTGGTCAATGTAAAGGGTTGTTATCAACAGAGACAGTGAAGACTCAACCAGTGAAACATTCTGGGGAAAAAAAGCTCCTTTGGTCAGATTAGACATCAGTAGACATGTTTTGTGGTGTTGGTTGTTGGCATTAACACTGATGTTTGGTCTGTAGTGGATGTTTGTAAAAGGCTATAAATTTATAAAGATTCCATGTTACTAAAATTTCCTAAATCAAATGCATTGCAGTTTTCTCAGCACCTGTCATAGTTTGAAAACATCCATTTTTTACTTGAATGGATATCCAATTACTTTCCCAGCTAACAGGATTTCTATTAAGAGGTTATTTGTCGCACATGTCCCCCTGGATTCCCTCCTGGCTCAATCTGTTTTCCTGATCCAGAGAAACCGATCATGAAGATGCTGGAGGCAAGAACAGGAGACCGTGAGGCTCAAGAGTTTGTGCGAAGGCTGAAGGAGATCGAGAAGTCGATGGAGGAAGAGTAATTTTCAGCAGTGGTACACACTATTTCCGACCTTGTGCTTTTCTACCTGTTGTACTATGTTTGCTATTTAAAATGAATCTCTTTCAAGTGTGCAGTTTTAACTGTTGTCCTGAGAAAAAGTGAACTATATGAAGACTCTGTTTAAAGATCAGTATTTTGTCGCTGTTCAGCACTTTGCGTGCTGTGTTTTAATGTTTTGGCTCACCAAAGGAGCTTGTGAGAATTATATGAATTTAACAATAGTATATTTTGAAGTATGTTTAGTTGATTCTCTGTTGAATTAGATTTGAAACGTTATCTGAGGTACAGTTTCCTGTGACTTGAAGTCTAAGAGATGTTTAACGAGAAGATGAGCTGTACAGGTAGGTTTACTTGCTTTGAAACAGTTTACAAATACTCAAAAAGGCATTCAAAAAAGGCAAGTTTCATAGACTTTATACACACTACAGGTGTTTTGCCTTTGTAGCAAAGAGGGGGAGCAAGACACAACCTTCAAAAACAGCTTGTAAAATTTAAAGTAAAGCTTATTCACCTGTGTTTACAATATTGATTGAGATGGTCTCTGTTATGGGATGAAAACGCTTTCGTAAATCTTCTATCTAAAACTGTGAATGTTATGCATTTGTTCTTGAATCACACTGGACTGTGTTGAGAATGTTACTGTAGCATTTCTGTGAGACCTGGTCTTTCTTAAAGAATGTCTGTTTATGCTAAATGGTTGTTCAATTTGGGTTTGATGTTCATTTGGTTCTCCCTACTTTTCACACTCTACAGTTTTACTATTGGCAATGCAGCACTCAAAACAGCAGAGAGAAGTCTGTCAGAGGTCTTTTTTAAAAAAAGGGCTTCACATTTTTTACAATGCAAAGTCTGTTTTGTTTTAACCGCATTCCCATATATTGAATGCCGAACTTGTTTTTTGAAGGGAAATATATGATTGGGGCTGACTGAGCATAGTTGCAAATCATTTCTTTCTCTGAAAATGCTTCTACCTTCAGAAGTCCTGTTGTTTGTTTCTGAAGGTTTTTTTTTTTTAAAGAAGTGACTCAAAAGCACTCCCTGTTTTATTCCAAAGTCATTTATTTATTTGTTTATTATTTATTTCTGGCGGATTTATGAAAAGAACTAGACTTAATAGCACCATTTGTCTGTTATATATCCACAGCAGGGAAACATTTTTTTTTCAGCTGTTTTGTAGCTTGGTCTCCTGTTTTCAGAGCCTAACCTCTCTCCATGTTCCCTCTACACCTCTTTTCCTTTGACCTAAGCAAGATTGGCCTCCTGTAGAGAAAACTCAGACAGAAACAAGGACGGAGGAACAGCCCTGCTATCCAGCAAGGGTAAACAAATGCATTGGCACCGCTGTTTAACACTTTCTCAGCAGTATGTGAAACTGTCGGCACTTCTCCGTGCCCCCATGTGACTTGACTAATGGTGTATCGTGCGCGCGTGTGTGTACGTGTGCAGTGAACTTAATAAAGAAAAAACAAGAACAATAGACGAGACCTCATCAAGAGGAATGTGTTGTGAGTGAGAAAGCTTCATTTGCAGGGGGTCAATAAGAGCTCAGGTGGAGGCCGGACATCTGGGCCACACTGCCCTCGGGTCACACGCTGGGAAATGCAGTCTCGGGAAGCTTGGATCGGACCAGCTGAGGCCTTGTCAGCCTTATTAGCACCGTAGGCTCTCAATCCCACAGACGGTGCTTTTCTTAAAAGAGCTGCACTTAGTGCATGGAGCCCGCTGACTCTGCCAGATTGTCCATGTTTTCAAAGCCAACAGTGCAGCATACACGCTGTTTACAAGCAAAACAAGATAACACAAAAGCTTTTCTGAAAAGATTGCATAGAATAATCCAGTGGTTCTAGAGAACCCCTTCCCTGCATATTTTTTACATTACATTATTTATTTATTTACAGTACAAATTATTGAAAAATTACCCCCCCTTTTAATTTACTCTTATTACTGCCTGTTTGTCACAGTGAATGCTTTAATATCTTTAAGCAGCATGTAATATTAGACAAAGAAACATTTTTATGTCATTTATTAAAGGAGAGAAGATGTGTGAAAACGTAGTCGCCCCTTTAAAATGAATGCAACCAACATGTCCTATAATTGGATATTATATTGCATTTTGTGTGAGAGCACAAACCCTCATTTATAGTGGGGCCCTGTAAGAGTTACAATAGAATTAGAATACAAGAAAAATACAAAATAAATGAAAAAAGTAATTCATTTAAGAGTAAATCTGCATGGATTAAAAACTAAGAGAAGCAAACAAATCTCTTAATTTTTTATTAAAAAAAGTAACAGAACTAACTAACTAACTAACGAAAAGATCGTAACTGCAACCAACATTTTCAGTAATTTGATATCATATTACATTTCGTTCCAAAAAATAAAAAAGATCCAAAAGCATTCACTGTGACTCTATGCAGTAGTAGAGAAAATCAGGATGAGAGGAAATACTTTCTCACAGCCTACAGTCTACGAGTAGGTTACTGAGACCAAGCTCTCATCCATAGTGGTGCTCTGTAAGAGTTACAATCGAATTAGAATACAATAAAAATGTAAAATAAAGAAAAATTCTAATTAATTTAAGTGCAAATCTGCATCAGTAAAATCTGGTAAAAAAGTTAACTGACTAAAAGTTTAAGAAGTATGTAAATGTCATATTTTAATGTTTTCCCTCTAACATGCCAGACCCTCACAATCCTTTCATTGAGAAGTCCTTTAATCAGGTATATTACAGCAATCAAGTGTATCAAAGCTGAAAAAACTATATGTAGATTAAAGGTACTGCAAGAACCAAGGTTGGGCACCTCTGATGTAATATGGTCATCAATATTGAACATATTTGATGCAGACTATATTGTTGAATTCATATGTTAATGCGCCTCACACATGTATGTGTTACTACCTAAATCCCAGGTGCTGCTTATGTAACTTCTGTCTGTCTGCATGATGGGTGTGGTCTGGGTTGAAAATGCCAAAGCAGGAAAATCAACCACTAGGAGCCACCACTAGGTGTCCCTAAAGTTTCAGACACAACTAACATCAATTCTTCAGCTGGAAACCAGGTGGCACACTTAGAAATGAAAAACAAAGAGTAACATGAGCTTGTTCGCTTTCTAGGATTTGCAAACTATGAGCAGCTGTTGTTTCTTGTCTTCCATAATCTACTATTTAACGGCATTATGATCAGACATTTTGCTCTTCCTATCAAAGCACGGTAACCCAGAGCAACAGGGCAATTAGCCTACCGGAGGAGGTGCAGCAGCAGCTTATGTAATAGGAGCATAGCAACATCATTATTATGAACATGCATTAAAACAGGACCTAGACACCCAGTTATTATCTTCAATTTGGCCACCAAGCTGAAAGTTCCACAAATCACAACAGCAGCGAGATGAACTTGTTTATCATGCACACCATATAATTAGACCCTGCGATTTAATTCCAGCACAGACTAAGGTGTTCAGTGAAGCTTGTGTTTTCCCAGTTCAGTATCTGTTAGACAGTATATAAACTTCATATACCGACTACATCCTGTATAACGCAGTCCATAAAAAATAGTAGCACAATTTTGGAATTGGAATGAAATAATGACTGATGAGTTTTAGCGCAGGATGTCAGCTTTAATGTGAATTAAACCACATTTTGGTTGGCCAGAAGTAACAGGACAAATGAATATAACGGCAGGTTAGTTGTTCTCTCTTTTGTCAATATAACTTTCTCCCAAAGCTCTACAGGCTTTAACCTGGACTTTCTGTTATTAAAGCTTACAAGTGATTTGTATTTTGTACTAAAGACTTTCAGGTCACGCTGGTGTATTCTTCTCTCGCATCAGTGTCTGCATCCTGGAGAGCTTGATTCATCTGTTCACCATCTGAAAACCCTGATAGCAAGAGGATAATGGGTCACTGTTGGCCCACTGATGGCAAAGCCGGTGGTCCACTGGCGTTTTGCTCAGCGTTTTCCAGGTGGCCCACTAGTGGTTAAGCAGAGTAATAGACAAAATTCCACTTATCATCGCTCATATTCTACTCACAGTCCAATTTACTTATTTTTCCTTCCTCCTTTCTTTAGTTATACTTTGTAAATTAGTTTAGTAAATAATTTTAATCGAGCACAGAATCAGCAACAACATTTTCTGTAAAGTCGTTATATATCTGACCTAGTCATTTTTTTTTCTCTCAATTGTTTGTAATGTTTGTCTTAGTTTATTTTCCAAAATAAAAGTCTCTGTGTGCGTAAAATCTGTTTGACGACATTACAAATTAGTTAGAGCTTGTATGCAGGACAGTAATTTGGGTGGTCGGAGAGTGGACCAGCAGTGGCAGTCAGTCAGTGGGGGGCCAACCTTATCAAGCCAGTGGACCTGATTGAAAGTGTTCACCACTCATCCAGGTTTGTTATTGCTAAGCTCACTGTGTTCCTGCTCCTTAACAATGTCTGAAACTGTTCATTTTGACACATCCAGTGTTTTGGCTGTGTCTGTAATGAATTTATTCTGCTATTTCAGACTTTCTTTATGGACACTGACACTTCATGTTGAGAGGCTATACATAAATATGCCACATCTAAAATCAACTTAAGGCCTTTGTCCAGCTACTTTTGCTTCCGTAATAATCAGAGGACTGCGTATAAAAGGTGCCACAATTCATACATAGGTCACACTCAAGGACGTACATACTCGCAAATGAAATCTGATACAGTCAATCCAGTGTGCAGAGCCAGAACAAAAAAAAATGAAGCTGAGATGTGTTCTGGTGCTAATGTCCCACTGTCATATCTCCTGTTGTCTTGAGCTGGTTGGTCCAGTGCACTGTGTCCTGGAGCAGGCATGTGTCAGAAATAGGGCTGGTTTAGGATTTCCCCACATTTTCTGCACTGGCTGGCTGTGGCTCATAAAGCCAGCCATGGGCTGTTAAGCTCTAAGTAGCTCCTGCTGGTGGTCAGGCCCTGTTGGTCATTACACCTGGTGTGTGGGCCTTCTGGGACCCAAGAAGGCTGCTGCTCGCTTTGCTCTGTCCCACGTGGGGGTGAGAAAGAGATGGGAAGCCCAGATCTCAGGTCAGGAAACCATTACGTCCTTTGTTTTAGAATGTTATTAACAGATGTTGGTGTGGCAAGATGTTCCATCCTGGATCATAGCATTGCTCCCCACACATGACACCTGTCCAGGCCAACAAGTGCACTTTGGAATGATTCCATTAACCATTTTTGGTTCCTTAAAGAACCTTTCAGTTTGATGGTTGATACTTTTCAGCTGAAAGTTTAGTGGTTATCATATGGCATCACTCCAACTCCTTTTTTGGCATATTTATTTTCAAGAATTTACAATGACAAAAAAAAATGTTGGCAACTATGATGTAGAGGAATGTGTAGAATGAAAGGCTTTCAGAGACACTGTGGTGGGGAATGTGAAATCTTGAAGCTATAGCACCAAAAGACCTGCCAGTCATTGTGGACTGAGTAACATGACTGAGTCCAGTTTGATACCTCAGGATCTGAACAAATGAGAAGGACTGCAGGGAAGAAAGTCCATATGAAATCCAGAGGGGCAAAACAATGAAAATGTAAAACTTTGTACTGGAAAAGGATTCCAGAAGTGATTCTGATGGACGGAGCAGACGAGGTCACCTGCAGTAACACAAAGGTGATGAGGACTGAGGCCTGTTTTAACCTAAAGACACCAGAGGGTGGTAAGAAAGAGGGAGGACCTGTCTTTCTTTAAGGGAAATGAGGGACCACCCCAACTCTGTCCCCTCTTTATGTATGCATGCATGAGAAACAGCAATGAAACTCAGGCAGGCTGCTGCTCTCTATTGAATGCCCCATAGAGCCCCAAGCACAAGACACTGACTAATGCAAACCAGAGTGCAGAGGAGGTGAGAGGAGAAAAAAACAGACATATTTTGATATCCTGGAATTCCTCCTATCTCTGACGTGAATATATTCGCTAAATTACATTCAGCAGGACATCCAGTAACACCGTCCTCTAAAATCAGCGTCTCTGAAGATACTGCATGTGGTGTTATCAAGCAAATATGTCATCCTTTAATGAGAAGTGAAATATTCCAGCTTTCTCCAGAACTCCTCTGCCTTTTTCTGGAACTCCTAAGCTCGCGGGCTTTTAGCCCTTCATATTTCATCTTATCTGTTGCTTCCTTATCAAAAGAGGCATTCAAACGTTGTTTCCCGCTTGAAGGTTCTTTGTCAAACGTTCCTTGGAAAAACAAGACGAGGGCATCATGAGGATCCTGTGCCGCAATGGTGGAACGAGTGGTCTGTGGGAGGGTGGAAGAGGAGGAGGGAGAGGGTGGAATGTTGGCAGGGTGCCAGGCTCAGTGGTGACTACATCTTTGGCTCTGGCTCTGGCAGGTACATTTAACAGCGCTCTGATCCCCCAACGCCTTATCTGCTCTCATGCAGCAATAATCCTTCCAGAGACATCTAACGCTAAAAAGACTGTCTGCACCTCAGCCTAACCACTCCTCCATGGGA